TTTTTGATATTTATACACAGCAGAAAAGTCTTAATTTTTTTGTCAATCCGCTCTTTACTTTCCTTTGAATAAGTAGAGGTTCAATACAGGGCTTAAAGTGCAGTCAGATGTAACTGTTTCAAAACTGGGCTAGTTGAATAAGTGATTAGTAAGTTTAAATTTAAGAAATTAGTCGCTGAATTATCTTTTTTTCAAAAAAAAAATTCACAGAGGACGTTTTTGGTCACAATTCCTTTTGCTCCTTCGGTAGGAAAATAGTTTTCAGAGGACTGGGTATTAAGTTGTTTATGCATCCGGACAGAGTCTTTAGATTGTTCGTGGAAACTTCTAATAAAAAGTCGGGGATTTATGAAATAAGTTGGTAATATTTTTGGAAATGACTACAGATAGACGTCAACTGTTTAAAATTAGTTAAATCTGTCGATGATTGTAAATTTATAAAAATTATATAATGAATTCAGATCGCGTGCTTATCCCACATTCGTCACTTGACGCCCCTGTGGAGTCGGGAAAAGGGAAGAGTGTATGTAGTACAGTATGTAGGATATAAATTAGGGTGTTTGAATGCCACTTTAGTTTATGTTAAAGAAAATTGCTCGATGATTATTTGGACAGTACTTCCCTTGCCCATAATGTGCAATAAGTACATCAGGAATAACATTTGATCTCTTACTCTATAAGTTAGTATACAGGGTTATTCAGCTAAGATGACCCATTTATGTTTTTATAATCGGCAACCCAAAATACCGATTCCACCTGAACCTGGATTACAAAAAATGTTTCAATTAAATTGTATCACAGTTTGCTAGAGGTATAGAAACGTCAGTCAACGTGAGTGTCAGAAAAACGCCTATGCATTCAATAACGAGAAAACCGACATGATCCTTAGTTATGGACACGTTATGGAGAATGACACAAAAAGGCTAAGCGTACAACATAATTATATCCCCGAAGATACCCTGATCGTGTGGCCCCAACACTCAAAATTTTCAAGAGGCTAGAAAATTCGTTGCGTAAGAATGTGGCCTGCTAACAAGAGGAAACGGAACCAGACTGCGACTAGCTTGGAAAATGAAGTATAACTTCTTGCACAAGTTAATGGGAATCCTCATATGGAAGTTATGGGACAAATTGCTATTGCTAGACAAATAAATAAATTTCATCCTAACCTCTCTAATAATCTGCACCTGGAGCATGCATTATCTTCGGGCATACAATTGTGCTGCACTCTCTAGCATTTTTGCGACATTCTCCGTAAATAAGGATCATGTCGGTTTTCTCGTTATTATCGTAAGAATGCATAGGCCATAAGCATAGGCATTTTTCTGACACTGACGTTTCTATGCAGTTATAAGCAAACTTTGATACAATTTAATTTTAAAACAATTTTTGTAATCCAGGCTCAAGTGGAATCGGTATTATGGGTTACCTATTTTAAAAATACTAATGGGTCATCTTAGCTGAATAACCCTGTATATCAAGATACGTATGTAATGTTCAAGTTAAGGTAAAGAAACGTGTGAGCGTTTGTTTCAACTGAGTATGTCCATTACAAAATTTTGTCATGACGTCATCAACATTTTTGCAAGGACACGTATACCAATTTGGATAGATGCAGTGTAATAAAAATAGTGACCGTACTCTACTCCCGAACTTTCGGGAAAAAGGAGTGACTCATTATTGAATCTTGATTTAATCAATAACAGAACGAAACAATTTAATCACGTGTAGCATGTGTAGCAGCAGAGGTGTAATTGAACCGAAAATACTCGTAATTTAAGACAAATAACGATAACTCTTGCCGAGATTGCACACGTGAAAGTAAATCAGAGAAACTAAATTACACGACATTTTCTACAAATTGTAATAACCGGATCACAATGCGATGGTCCAGACTTTTTTTTTGTTTCGACTTCCTTTTAGTAAATACGAAATTGCATTTTGTTTTAATTTTTGATGCTTATTCATTTTTGGTTAATTATAACTTGTCTAAGGATCATGAAACGTCGAGCAAATATGAAAGTACCGAGTCGCCAGATGGACTCGATTATAATACTTCCTTAGCATTCAGCTCAGTAAATAATAGCAAAAATAACAACTGAAAGTGTTTGTATTTATACATCGGAAGAATGTCACGTAGAAATTATAGTTTGATTTGCATGAGTTTGTTGCCTCAAAAGAGAGGATTAAAATTATTAATTAAACCACAATCGTACAAAATCATTATCCAATAAAGGCTGTGCATTCTCACATTTTCGAGAAAATGGAGTGACTTGTTCTTAATTTGATGAATAAAAAATTAGAGTAATTAATTTTTTAAAATTTAAAACGAAACGAGCTAGAGTGGTTAAGCAGATATATGTTTTGATTAAAAATTTACCATGCTTACGATAACCTTGAACCGTCTACAAGATTTCAAAGCATTCGATTTTGCAATTCCTGATTTAATCCATAAAATAAATTGACTCATTTATTTTTTTAAATTACCCTGTATAAGCAATTCTAAAAATATGAAGGCAACGACACCTTTTCGACATGATTTATTCGGCAAAATTTTGAGATGACACCATCAATCGGGGGGGAGGGGGCTAACAAATCTGTTTTGATTAAAAATGTACCGTGTTTACGACAACACTAAAATGTTTGCAAATTTTCAAAACATTCGATTTTGCAGATTCAAAATTAAATTGGAAAATGTTGCTATACGATTTTGATTTTTTTTCCAAAAATCTAGAAGCCTTGGGTAAAAATTCAACACGTATCCATAAATTATACGTGTCGGAGTATATTATTTTATGCAATTTAAAATGTTTTTACTATGTGCAATTTTGAGATGACGTCATCACACTGTTGGTAGACATGATCAGACGAAGTTTGGTTATCGTTTTACTGCCATCTACATGATATTCATAATACACATATATGTATTATGAATACCATGTAGGCGGACGGCGGATAGATTGACAGACGGACGGAAACGGGAGATTCATTTTTTCGTATCTAGTGGGCGTGACCCATTGTGAAAATATGAAAGAAACCAGTTGCCAGATGGACAATACTTCATTAGCTTAAGCTCGGGAAGTAAAAAAGGATATTATTTAAATTTGCCAATACAGTAAATCTCCAGATTGTCACGAAAGTCTAGAAATTAAAAAAAAAAACATATACGACATAGGATATGAACAAGTGTCGGTTATAATTCGACTTTAGTTTAGTTTTATCTAGATAATGCCAACATGCTTAGCGAAACGCGTTGACAATTTTTTATGTTTTCGTGTTGTGGGAAACCTTATAGTGCCATGCTACTGACACGTAAATGGCGTGGTGCAATACAGTGGAGGTTGATCTTTCGATGTTTACTAATGTTTGTTTGCTAATCTTGCTAATTAGACGCAATCATAATAATAAGATTAAATGTCGTAATTAACAGGTGTTACTTGTTATAATAATTAATAGTGTAAGAGCACAAGATAGTTTCAATGTTTATGACCACAGTTTACTCTGGAATGCTTCGCTGAAATCGTTCTTCAACTATTTTCAAAGGTCATTCTTTTTCATCACAAACCACTAACTCCAGATGCTTGATCCAGGGACCAGGAGAGGCGAAAAATGGAAATAACGCCAATCCGTGTAATCATAGTGCTTTGTATAGTCAATACGACGGAGTTGCGGCAACATGACATGAAAATATCGTACATTTAAAATTTAAATAAAACTCTATCCAGTTTTTAACTGAATCAATAAAATATTTCTCTTCATTCACTTTCTATTTGTAAATACTGTATGAGCTATTTTAAAACCTGAAAAGATGTGAGTACCGCATCCACATTTCATTTCGGGGGACATAATTGAATATGCATTAATTAGGTTTTTTAGAAATACAGCAAAATCGTGCATTCCGTTACAAAAATGTCGATTTTATCCATTTTGACATAATTAAAGCAAACTTTCAATTTTGTGAATGTTTGGATGTTTATGTTTTGTTGAACGGTAGATGGTTAAAACTACGTAACTCTAAAATAATCGAGAATAGTTCCAGATCATTAAGTTTCCGAATATATGAATACTTGTCACAAATGTGCGTTTTAGTAATATTTAAAATCATTCAATTTATAATCTCGCAAATCATCAAAATTTCTATTTTCCATTGTCGGATCGACGCTTACATAATAAATGCTAATTGTCTAACTAGAAGAAAGATTAATAGGAGTTTACTAAAAATGCAGCATCTACATAAAATACTATGAAAAATGCATCACTACTTATTACCAAAATATATACAGCCTCGTTAAGTTGCCTATATTTACAGAAGACATTCCTACTACTAATGAGATTTTTGTAAGTTCATCATGTGGTAAGTGTTTTCCTGTATTTCTGGTGTAAAAATTACCTACAGTCACTGTTTTTGGTATCGTTTGTGTTAAAGGTAAGTTAAGTTTTTGTTTTCTATAAAGCAATATAGGACACAGTTCATTAATCTAAACTGGTACTTATCTTTTGTTGAAAAATGTAGACGTAACTTGAGCGTAAAATACGTAAATCACTATGAGTGTTTCCAAACGCACTTTTTATCTTGTAAGTAAATTACTTACAAAAAGGAAGCGAGGAAAACAGGAGAGCAGAAGAAATTAAGTAAATACAGGTAATTTAGATTTTAATTCAGATTTCATAGCGATTAAAACGTAAACGTTGAAGGAGGAAAACAATTATTTTTAATTTGCTCATTATCTGTCAATTGATATACAAAGGAAAGCAAACAAAATTAAATTACTATTACTACAAAGATATTACTTTTTTACAGAGAAGTCTCACTGGAAATTCAGTGCTTGTAATCATACCGATCGTCTACATGACAATAACTACACTCATAAAACCGAGACTTCGTTGCTTCCGAATCCATTCCATTTCAACTGTTCGAGCGTTTAAAACTCACAAAATCCCCAGTTTAAGTTCTTCGTTGTCTCTGAATCGAATTTAGTCTTGATTTGAAACTTGCTGCTTTATTGAATATCGCAGTACATATTACATTCTCTTGATCCGACGGGCAACAGCTGTCCAATATTGCTCATCAAATCAACAACAAACATTTTCAAAGCTGTCTTGCGATCCACAGTTTGGATCAACGCTACTTCGTTCCAGTACATTTTATTTTTGCCTTTAACCAAACTCACCCGAACGTCAACGTGGTCAGCTAGTGCTTTAAAAAGCAGAGCTCTTTCACATTGGAAACCTAGTCGCAGATAACCTATTGGAATCATGTTGGTCCCTAATTTCTGCTTGATGCATGCAATGTGTAGCTTAAATGTGTGCTGCTTGTCTCGGTTTGTTGAGTTCTTCTCAGGTCCGCACAAACACGTATCGACAAATTTGGCCAGAATTTGGATTTTCTTTTCGAAGTCGGTGACATTAGTGACGAGGTTTTTTATTTGTTCGACATATTTAGGGAGATATGGATCATGGGAGAGGAGCCCAAAATTGATGGTACAACGGGTTTGGTACGAAGAAACGGAGGAAATGGTCGAGAAGGAGTAATTGGCACTTATACTGGGCATATTCTGAGTGTGGATGCTTATGCAGTCGAAGCATTTCTGTTCATTATGCTCACACTCGTCGACCACATAAATGGTACTTAAAGTTGACATTCGACGCAACTCCAGCACTTCTAAAAAGGGGAAGGGTTCATTCCATGGTCCGTTTATGACGTAGAATCTTTCATTCAGTCGATCTGTGAATTCTAATCGACCGGTTTCATAGAATTTCACGGGTAGACACATGTTGTAAATTAAATTGATGGTTGTTTGAATTAAAGGGTTGCGATATTTGACCCCCTCTGGTAGTCGTTTCAAGATTAATAAAATTTTCTTGTAAATTAAGTCTCTAGCTAAATTCTCATACATCAAAGCATTATGAATAAAAATAATGAGCAGTCTAACTACTTGCTCGTTCGTTGTGCTGGAGAGCTTGTCAGCCACGACTTGAGATCCTTTATTTAATAAGAAGTAATTTTGGAAATCTTCGTGGTTTAAGCAGTTTATCATAATTTCCAAGCTTCTCATGCATATTTCATCGAATTTGCTCGAAGTTTGCGTTAAAATTACTTCGTATAAATCTGGCGAAAGAATAAGACTTTGCAATTGATTGTTAGTAACGAACATATTGATGATTTCCAGAACTTTCTTGTACGAATCGGTGGAGAGTTTATCGCTTCGTTCTTTCAAGTATTTTAAGAGAACTTCTATCCCATCGTAGGTGCGGATCATGTAAATAGTTCTTGAATCCCTTCTACTGAAATAGTGTAAAGTTGATAAAGCCACCTCATTTTCAGGATCTTCGCTATCACCCACTCTCCGCATTATCTCAAGAAGTTTTTTTATCACGACCGGAGTAACCATCTTCTCGCAGCAATATTTATGTTTAGCCATGAAATTCACAGCGTCACATGTAGTATTTAAAACTTGTTTATCAGAACTTCTAAAAAACGAAAGAATGATGTCTTCAATCGATAAATCGAACAACATCTGTTTAATCGAATCGATTTTCGAGATTTCCAAAAAAATATCAGCGCAAATTTGCATGACGTGGTCTGGACATGTTTTAATCCACTGACAGAATTTCAGAAATTCAAAAGAACTGGTGAAGTAGCTCTTCGTATTTTCATTCCCCATACAATGCAACACAATTTTTAAACAAGTGACTACATAGTCGATTCGTTCAGGATCTGTAATAATATCGAATATGTGCTCAACAAGATTGCATTCTTTCAATCGTGTCTGTAGCGTATCATCGCAAAAATATGTCATCTTTTCGAAAATTTCTAAAATGATAGGAAAACAATTTTCTGAAGTTTGCATCTTTTCCAATAAAATTGTTATATTGAATTCCTTTTCTTCAGGTAGCCTTTTCCGCACCGACTCCATTTCAATAAATTTGCTAAGTAACTCCAGTGATTGGCGCAGAATAACATCAGTCTCGGGAATTTTAATAGTTTTCAAAATCGCTGTTATTAAACGAGGTTCCGTAACTAAGAAGTGCGCTTTCCCCAACGTGCTATACGTTGCCAAAATCTGACTAGAAAACTCCTTTACGTTCACATCGCTGTGATTTATGTAGAACCCGCAGATTTTCATGACAGCTTCATCGACTTTTTCTTGATTTAATTCGAGTTGGGCGGCTTCTACTGTTAATAATTGCGATAATAATCTCAAGGAAACTCTTACGATGCAAATGTTATGGTCCAGAAGTGCCAAAAGCTTTGGCAAAAGGCCACGGGTTTGGACGGATTCTAAATTGTTCCTTTGAATGTCTGCATACTTTGATAAGAATAGTAGAGCTTCTAATACCAAATTACCTTCAGGACTTTCTAGCAAAGTGATGGATGTGTCGATTTCTTTGGTGATGTAAGGTTTTTCTTTGATAGCATTGGGGCTGGTTTCGTTAAGTTTTATTTTTTTTGAGGATTTGCTTTTGTTTTTTTTCGCTTTTGACGATTTCATTTCGAAATTTTGACAACAATGTCACTGAAATAGATGTAAATTTATTATTACTTGATTTGTGTGCAACAAATTTTGTTTGTGTTAACTGTAAGTCAAACAAGGGCGATGAGATTTTAGGTAGAAATTTAATTTCAAGTGTAATAATTGTTAGAATTATGTGGAAATTAGAAAACCGATTTCTTCAAAACTATGGATAAAATGCTAAACTTGTTTATTGTTTTTTTTTTTTATAAAAATTGGATGACGTTACCTGAGTATATTTTTAAGTAATAAACCTCACAGCATAACATACTCCGTCAAGTGTAGTTTGACAAAGAACACTAGTTTTTATTGTACTTGTACGTTCTGAAAAAAGTTTTGACTATGAAGTGTATTCCAGAAATCTGTAAAAATTGGTATATTTTAACGTTTTTCTAAAAAAAATGTCATATCTAAATTTTCTGAAATTTTGGGAACATAGCACTTGTATGATATATATATATATATATATATATATAGATTACAATTAATTTCATTTAAAAATTGATTACATCATTTCAAAAAATATTAGACTATTTCATTTTGAAAAATTTGCAATACTGTTTGTGTTTTCGTTATACTATCTTATTTTTTTGTTTTTAGGCAAAATACATGTACATATGTGCGATATGAGAAAACAATAACATTTTGTCCGAGGAAACTATATATTATGGACTTAAATCCTTTATGGGTTATTTCAGAAATAGCTTAATCAGTGTTACACTTACGCATAAAAAATAATATATCTGCCTAAATATTAATTATGTTAAAATTAAAAGATATACATCATCAAGTTGCATAACAATATTTAATAAATGTTTTAACAAACTTTTTCAAATGAATAACTATTTTAAAATAGTAAATTATGTTTTATAGTTGTTATTTGTAAACCTCTTAATGATTTAATTGAAATGAAACATTTTGAATGTGGGTTTATACTCGTATATATTTATTAATAATTCTTGCTTTTTATTTTGGTTTGCATGTAGAAGAGAATATATTCAGACAATTTTTTGTAATTCATGGCGTGCTAAAAGGTAAAATATTTAAGTTGTTGATGTAATTTTTGTTTAAAGACAAAGCAGGTGTCTACCCTTCTAATCGCATTTAAAGGGATGTGCTGTTAGTCGTATGTTGCTTTTGTTTTGTTTGTATCCTCATAAAATATTTATTTTATGGCCGAATTCACTTTCTTCTTGAAAAACGTAACAGAGAGATAAAAATTCTAAAATTTCCAGGAAGTTTTATTCGTTTAATTAGTTTAGACTGCAGAGAAGCAGATCTCTGGGATCTTTAGCGAAGTAATTTTATCTAAACATTTAAAATGAATAAGACTTGTATTTTTTTACATTTTCAGTCTCAAATTAATCTGAATATGTGACTTAGATAACTACAGAACTAGAAGTATTAGAAGTTTGAAAATTTAACGACATAAATGTTCAAAGGACTTCAAAGAGAAAAGACAGAACCGTGATACTACTTAGGTCAGTGCCACTGATTTTGACCCAAGTTCGATACACATTCATATACAGGGTGGATAACGCGTTCCTCGATCTCATTAATTATTATGAATAGAAAAAATGTCAAAGACCAAAGTTGTATGGTTCCTTGTGGACTATACTCTAAAATTACTTTGAACTACACAGAGTGTTCTGTTTTTAAGGCGTAATATACAATTTAGTGTTTTTTTAAATGAAACACCCCATATATTTTTACACATATTGATAGAGTCTTTAAGCTTTATAACCACAGTTTATTTTTGAAAACACGATGCGACGTTGCGACGTTGCGACCTTATTCCAATTTTCTTGAATTTTTAGAATTTTTTATAAACACTATGTATACTAAAATTTGATTTAGTTGGCACCACAACAAGGCGCTCACTTTTAATTATCCTTCCACGAAATATTGTAAGATAGACTTTAAAAATAACGCTATTGTGATTTTTTTTGTTAAGCCTTCCCTTGACAAAAAAAATTCAAGAAAATGGGAATAACGTGGCAACATCTCACTTGAAACTACACTATAGTTGTAAAGCCTAAGAAGAGATTAATCACAATATGCAAAAATATACAGGGTGTTTCATTGATAAAACTAAGTTATGTGTTACGCCTTAAAAACAGAACATTCTGTATAGTTAAAAATAATTTTAGGATATAGTCCTTAAACAACTGTACAATTTGGTTTTCAACTTTTTTCTTTTTGTAATAATCAATGAGATATCGGGGAATGTGAGCTTAATGACTCACCCTGTATAGGAGAAAAATACAGGTTGTACTATATCTTCCACTAAGTTTTATTCTTTAGGTTAAAAGTAGTTTATGCCTTTTTGAGATATATGCCAGGGGCCTTTTATATGAGTGAAGCTTCTTGCACAGCGTTACGCTACTTGTAATTAGGGTCTTCTCGAGCGTGACCATTTTCGCAAAAAGCACGTTTACTTAAAATAAAAGAGGAATTTAAATCATTAATTTGGCATTATGACGTAAGACCCAGACGCTCCTTTCAGGCGAATATTCAAATTCGAAATCTCCCAATAATAAAAAGAAAATGCGCAAGAGGGTTGTTATTTTATTCAAATTACAGGAGTCTTCTCTTTACAGGTACGAAAAGCTCGAAATAAAGGAGAATTAATAATGCAGTGTACATTTTAAGCACCTCAAACGTGATCGTTCTATTGGCAAAATTAATACATGAAACGAAAAATTATTATCGAAAAGATTTGCCTGTTTCATGTACTTTGTACAGAAGTCCGTCAATAAAGCTGTGTAAACTGATTCACTTTTTTCAGTAGCGATAAATTCCCTTGATGAGCTTTGAATGAATTTTTTGAAGGTGATGAGGGAAATTTTTATCGGCGTCGGATGTTTTATGAAACTTTTCCACTGCTTTAAAGACATTAATTATTTTATCACTTACCGGCAATGGATGATGAAATTTATCACATCTTTCATTCGTAGGAAGTGGAAAGTTATAAATGAATGCCTTGCCCTGAAATTGCTTCTGACAATATTGAATTTGTAATTAGGAAAAGCCGTGTAAATCAAGAGAAGACTCGGAGTATAATCAGGTAGATTTGCACAGAGACTGCTCTAATTTTGCGAAAACATTCGTTACTCACATCAAACGGCGTATGTAATCATTTCAAGCCACCCTATTTCTATCAATGACAACGTCATTCCAGCCCTCTGCTACGCATCTTCGTCTTCGCTTGTTTCGCCTCCCTTTAAAATCTTGTTATCTTGATATAAATTATGGTTATTGCAGAAGATAATGAAACGCCTTTTCTAGGAGCTGCCTCGAAAAGATACACCGAATATCACCGTTATTATCAATATCATCTCTAATAATTAACAGAGATATACGAAAACTGTCCTGAAAATGGTACACCGTTGCGTGTTTATGCCACAATAATTATTATTTATGTAAGGAGCACCAGAAATGATGCATATCAACACGAACGTTGAATGACTGCATCGGAGGTTGCCTATAAGTCAGTCATTCTATGCGATTTCCAAAAAACCAGTATCTTCTTTATGCTTCCTTTTTACTGTCCGAGCGTAAACCAAGGAATTATTGTAATAGGATCTAACCGACGAATGGCTACTTTCATGTTTTCTGGGCGTTTTATGACCCTAAATTACGAAACAATAGGTCTCACGTTTCTGTCCGTCCGTTCGTATCTCTGTCTCTGACTGCCTACCGTCTGTATAGATTTACACTGGACACATAGATTATAACATCGATTATTGTAAAATTTTAAGTAAAATTTGCCTAATCATTTCTACCAATAATTTGATGAAGTCACGCCAATATTTTGCTTAGTAAAATAATACTATTTAAATATTATAAAATAAGATACTTCTATAATTCATCTATATGCCCATTTTAAAAATTTGATGAGATCAACTTAAAATAGTTATTTTAATGAGTATCCAAGTACACTGAGTCTTGAAGCAGACGGAGAGTCATTGTGGAAAGTAACTAGCGTTAAACGTCCATTTGTTCGAATGCCACCCATCAAGAACGCACAAAATTAATGGATAAGAGGTAATGATGAAAAAGCTGAAGTATTTGTTCACCATATAGCAGACGTGTTCGTGCCAAGTGAGGACTTTTACATTGTTGATTTGCCACGAAACTTAAGTAATAGTAGTTACTTTTTCGTCAACCCTTGGTCAGTAAGGACTAACATTACTAAACTTTCAAACTTTACTATAAATATGTTTAAATAAATATTGTAATACGAAATACGATGTTCTGTTCAATTTTCTATTTATTACTATTATTTTTGTTGTAGTCGCAGTTGTAGGAAAAATGTTGTACGTAACAAGACGCTCGTTACAATTTTTTCGAACTCGCACTTAATGATTCAGTTTTTAAATTAGTTACATAAATAATTATTTAGGTTTTAAGGGAACTACACATTAGTACCTAATAAATTAATGCAAATTAGGACTGTACTAGCCATATCTAAAAGAGTAAAAAACGTGTTATAAACTGTACCCATATTTACGTTTTTACAATAATAAGTACTTAATGCATACAGTCCTGTCATTTTGAAAATTTTGATGTAGTCCATGCTTTATTGTCATTTTGATATTTGAAATTTAAAAGATTTGTCACGTCGCCGTCGCGTCCAGTGTTAGCATGCCAGCAGCGCCAAAAATGACAAAACTAAAAAATAAGGTTATAATACTTAAAGGTGTTTCACATTTTGTGATAGAGGAATGACACTGACGTTCAAAATTTTCTGGCAGCGACTGTATATGATATTTTTGGTGTTTAGGTATGTTTAGGTTTATAGGAGTCTTCCTCACCCAAAAACACGAGCGAATAAAGTAGTCAGTTTTATTGATTAAATCAAAAATGTTTTTTTCAATTTGTTTTTTAGAAAAATTTCTCGTCAAAGAAGTTTGCGTGGGAAAATACCCTGAAATGTATTGGATGAGCGTGGAGGAAAATTGCCTGAACACATACCT